TAAGTCCTTAAAAATATGTTTTTTGGGCCAGCCTTTATTTGAGTATATTGCCTTCAAATGAAGGACTTTAAAAGTGAGTTCACTGTTAAGAAATCGTGAGTATCTTTTCTAATTATGTTTTAAAGTTACGGAGCTCTTAAACATGCTTCATCGCTGCTTATACACGATACTTGGTTGCCAAGGCATATATAAACCCCTTAAATGAACTAAAAGAAAAATTTTACCAAACCAAGTGGTAAAATTACGTTTTGTTTTTTGTTTAAAAAAATGATTGATGTATGTGTAGCTATGTCATACAACAGATAAAAAAAAAACATTTCGTTTTCTTCTGCGTAGTAACTATCTATGCGTAAAAACATATAACTCCCTTCTACCAAATACTACATCAAATACTTAACTTCTAACTAACTGCGAAGCCGTTTTACTTTCACGCCCGTAGTAAACGCATAAAATTTACTGCTTATCAAAACTCATACCACAAGTCGGATTTACAGCTCCGCGTTTCAGAACAACATTCCGTAACTCTTCAAACACAGTTCGACGTTTATGAGTTTGACCCAAATAAACAGCCATTTCACACGGTTTGAAACACAAAAGCCGTTTAAGAGATTTATGGCACAACGGTGACTGATAGAAGGGTGCAGAATGGTTATTTTCAAGGCGTGGACGACAGCGGTCGCCTTTCAATGACGTTTTACTTCACTTGTTTGGAAGTCTGTGAGTAAAGTTTGACCAAAGTAAATTTTTAAAGTTTGGGCAAAATTTAACTGCCTTTAGAATATACTAAGGGTTAGTTGAAGGATATTCACTTGTAAAGCCCGGTTCTAAATACTACAATTCACCAATGTCTACTTGGTGTGTACTGGTACAAAGGTAGATGATTCAGGTCGTTGTATAAAATAACATAAGGATGAGTGTAGAATGAAGTGAGATGTTTTTTGTAGCTATCTTACTGGCTAATATCAGACGTGTCATTAACCGGGATATTTGATTTAAAGCCCAATGATCAGAGACAGCTGGGTCCAGGTTCAAAAAGCTACTTAAGAAAATAATTATTCTTTGTAGTGTAGCGAAAAATAACGTTTACCTAACCCGCCATGTTAAACATCCCTATCCCAAGCGTGATGTATACAACTTCCTTACTTCTCGAGTGATGTAAAGTTGAAAAAAAAAACTCACTCGGTGATGTAATGAAACCCATTTAAATAACATTGAGTGGATAACTTAAAAAATATACCTCTATGGAGCCAACGACGTTCAACGCTAGAAATCAGCTGTGCGCTTGAATTTTATTGTTATGTTTTGAAGAATTTTCCTAACCTAGCTTTTGTTTGTAAATGAACGTTACTGTTAGAAGATGAGTGAAATGGACAATGAAAAATATTGTTCGTAACCTCCTGTATATTGTCGGGTCAGGTAAAATCTTGTACGTTACACGTTACGCAAGAGCGTGTTTACATCACTTCGGTAAATTATGCAACTCGCTTCCGCTCGTTGCACAACATTCACCTGCGTGATGTAAAAACGCTCTTACTACACTTGTAATGTAAATAGCTATTAAAACACGAGTGAAAGTGGGTCTAAGTAATGGCTCACTGTCTACACTTGTTATGAAAATATAATATAACATTGTTTAAATGAAACTGTCTACACCATGGAATTAGGAATGGAATGGAATGGAATGGAATTAGTATGGAATTAGGACCAGTAACTTAATTTCTTTATGTTTACGATTTATACCTGTTCTGTTAAAGTATTTTGGGGAGCACGATAGCTCAATCATCCAGCAATGTTAAGGTTAAAAGGTCCAGAATGGTTTATCCCTTTAGGTATTGAACAATCAATCTTCAAATCTAATCTGGAGGTGAGCTTTCAGCTACTTCGCCAATAACTAATTTCGTATAAAGATTTATTACTTAAGATTTAATGATTGCGTGCGTAGTAAACCTGATGCATTTAAAGAAATTTAAATAAAAACGAAGCCTAAAATAAAACTGTATTTACACTATGTGTTTAAGATAGTAGTATTTGAATAAATCCCTAAAAGGCCATAGCATTTCAAAAGTTCTAAACACTTTTTTTCCTGATAATCTCTACCTGGGTTGCTAATACCAATAAACGGCTGAGTTGAAAACAGAGTTCGTACTAGAGGAATAGTTTGATAGTTGCTAGAGCATTACCCGAACAAGAGTTGGAAGAAGAATGTAAATTTCAATCTAAAACACATCTGCGACATCTGGGCCTCTTAAGCGTTTTCTGAATACCTCGTTTTCATACAGTTAACTTCAAACATTACGTTGTCAATATGTGACGCCTTATCAGCGGGTGCCGCTCTGTTGTTGATTTTAAGTAGGCTAAATATGGACCAAATATTGATTGTGCCTAACCAAAGCTTTTCTCCTGGTTGGAAACGCTAATGATATATAAAAGAAGTTTTCACAACACTACACTGTTATAAAAGACTTTCCATGCATGAAATAAGTCCAAAAAACAGCTGTTTGTCGCCTGCAAAATGGGGTTTCATCAAGTACTGCTGTTATTGTAACGAGTTTTTACCGGACAACAGCTGATTATAATTGGCAAATAAGTTAACGAATCAATAAATGAAAACATAACCTCTCCTAAGAGATTAACTTCTAAAAGTTATGATTGTTAAGTCCTTTGGTCGATGGGAACGTATAACATATTTGTAAAGTTATTAGCGAATTTCCCATATAGGGAATAAGCTATTACCGTAGTACTCATGGTAAGACCTGGACGCGGGACCGATTTTTTTTTTCATTTTGAGGTCCCTAGAGGCCAAAAACACCATCCGTTCAAATTCATATATATATATGAATTTGAACGGATGGTGTTTTTGGCCTCTAGGGACCTCAAAACGAAAAAGTAAATCGGTCCCGGGTCCAGGTCTTACCATGAGTACTACGGTAATAGTTTATTTCCTATATGGGAAATTCGCTAAAACCGCAATCTATCGAATTTAAAGACAATGGTAAGAAATAAGAATCAAATATCATATTGTTCAGACCACTCATAAAAAGACAAAACGTCCCCCAATCACTGCGGATTCAGAGTCACGTACATAAGGTTTCACGGTCGAATAAACTCCCCCCCCCCCACAAAACCCTTAAAAACAATCTTAAGGCCGGTCACCGGTTCATATAAATCAAAGTATAGCTATAAAATGAATTTTACTGTCATTAAAGTCGAGACTCATCGTAAAAATTGGCACGTAGATGAGGTATGATTTAGATGTTTATGATAAACCTAAAAAAATAAGGAGATGTTTCTTTATATCATATTAGATGTATCACTGAGTAACTTACATGTGCTCATTTAAGGCGAGGCTTTTTTAATGTAAGATGATTGATATAACTAAGCAGTGCTTAAGTAATGACCGTCCAAATTCACATGGCTTATCTACAACTATCTACTAACCTATGAACCTTTGAGCTCTAGGATTTTATATTCATTTTGTAATTAATAGCGTGTGCATAGTAATTTTACATGTTAAGAGATGTACTTTGTCCCATACATTGATACGTCAGTAGTTGCAGTAATTGTGCTTACAAAGGAGTCAAAACAGCGGTCACTGACAATGGGGATGATCTGTGTGGGGCGAGGGATGATATTGATGATCAAACCCAGGCGTTGTGCCGTGGTGCATAATGTAACATTGCAATCAACTGTATACATGATTAATGTGATGGGGATGGATATTTCAGAATTTAGTTAACCAACTAAACAACCTAACTAAGCAACTACATTCAAAACTAATTTCTTCTCAAGCAAAAATTAACTGATGGAATTGATGGCTATTATGGTAACTAGCTGTTACCCACGGGCTTCATCCCGTTTGGCTCCATAAGTATTGATAATACCCCACCGCAGCATACCTGCACAATAAGCAAAATTCCAATTACCTAGTTAAATTTACACTAAAATTTCTCCTTAAAAATGTCACATTTATTCACTATTTAAATAGCATTATTTTAACGAGTACTCAGGTTTGCTGCAACAGGGAGGGTATTTTTTTAAGTTAATAGTTAAGTATGACAAAATGCATTTTCAAATGTGATCAAAATATCCTCATAATTAAGCAAAGTACAACAGTTGAATTATTCTCCATAAGAATAACATGAATTTTAAATTTACAATTTTTGGAATTTTCTCCGTAACCATTAGGCACAAAATAACTAAATTTTTTTAAGCTCTACAAAATGTGTTGGATAAAAGTTGCTAAATTTTATGTTTTTAGGGTCAAAAATTAGAAAAACCAATTTTTACGCCATAAAACCCCCCATAAACCTCCGTTCCCATGGTCCGATCATTCTGGCACCAACTCATTCAAATAAATGTAGGTTTACACGTTTACACCAAATTTCACTGAAATTGGACCATTTGTGCTCGAGTTATTGTGCTAACGGACACACAGCCTACAATGGCTGGGTAAAGTTCCAGGGTCTGCGATAAGGTCAGGGAAACTACTAGGCCAAAAGCCGGGTCTAACCGGTATAGGACTGGCTCATACACGGGCACTGTGAACAAGTCAAAAACAAGTCACCAAAACAAACGTCCCACAAAAGTCACCATCAGGCCTAAGCCGATTCTCCACTCTCCTAGGGGGTCGTTGCTGACTACGCAACTCGGGCTTCGTCCAAACTATCCAATAGTTAAGCCCAGACTGCCTAAAACAAAGTGAGTTACACGACGACTTGCCAATAAAAACCACAACGCGAGTTATCACCAGGTGGGGTCTACTCGGCCACTATAATCCAATACACTACTCTAATAACATTTGATAATAACATTGACCTATAATAACATTTAAAAATTTCCATCAGCACTAATACTAAAGTGATTTCAGCTTTTGAAAAAAAAACTAGTTTATTAATAGTTTCTTTATCAACCTCTTAGGACTGTGCCCAGCTGACATCATCCAAGGTCGGTGGGTCGGCTGATAGTGAGACTAGAATCAAAGACTCGGTACTCAGTAGTTGTACCAGCAGCCATGAGAACAACACTTCTATTAAGTTTATACGTAACTTTCACTCTTGCCTTTACTTTTGATCGAGCAAGAATTAGTGCTATTCCAGGAATTGGTAGTTCTCCTGAAGATAACAATCAAACTACCATGCTAAGCCATTATCAGGATAGGTTGAGTCACTATGAAGATAAGTTGAGCTTCTATGAGAATAAGTTGAACCACTACTATCTACTACTTTATCACGAGAAGTTGAGCTTCTATGAGGATAAGTTGAGCCACTATGAGGATAAGTTGAGCCACTATGAGGATAAGTTGAGTTTCTATGGGAATAAGTCTAGTCAGTACGAAGATAAGTTGAGCAACTGTGAGAATAAGTTGAGTCACTACGGGGATAAGTTGAGCAGCTGTGAGAATAAGTTGAGTCACTACGGGGATAAGTTGAGCCACTATGAAAATAAGTTGAGTCACTATGAGTATAAGTTGATCCAACATGAGGGAAAGTTTAGTTACTATGAAAATAGGTTAAGTCATTATGCGGATAAGTTGAACCACTATGAGGATAAGTTGAGTCACTATGAAGATAAGTTGAGTCACTACGAAGATAAGTTGAGTCTCAGATCCACATACAACATACATCCAGTGACAAACGTAACACATGCAGAGAGTCCATCGGTGAACGTCACATATGCTTTAAAAGTAAGTAATTACTTAAGCTGAATTGACAAGTAAAGTCCAACAACGTTTATGTAAGAGTCTGCAGCCTTTACGAACCAGATATAAAGATTTCAAAAAAATGTTTGTCAATGGGGTGCCTAATGTTTAAGTTCATGTTTTAATTAAGTGACAAAAACAAAACTATTATAATAAACTATCATGATCAAGCAATTAGGCTGGGTTGGTTGCTAGGTTAAATTAAACATTAGGTTACAAGTATGATAGATTTGTTAGTTTGAAAGATAAATTGGGATGAAAATGGTATTTTGCTTATTTGTAAGCTCGTCTTATGCACGTTGGTGTATACACTTCCTTTTATGGAAATAATGAAGCGCCTGATACTTTATTTCTGTTCTCAAATTTTTTTTAAATTTATATAAGAATACACAATTATATAAATTAACTAGCTGTGTGCCCGTTCTACGCACGGGGATCTTATCATAGTCAGTTAAAACCTTCTTATATAAAGCACAGCAGTTGGTTTGCATACTTTCAGATATGCTGACAAAACTATTCCTTCGCAAATACAGTATCTGACAGTTTCAAGCCAAAACTAATGCTTCGCAATTAAATTTCACCCGGATCTTAATTGTTGGTCCATATGTTATATCCAATGATTAAACTAAATAAACGGTATCAGCATTCTGACACATACTTTCTCCCATAAGTTTGTCAACAACCTTTATCATGTGTAAGCGGTGAGAGTAAATATACGGAAATGGGATTTGTACAATTTTGTTCAGAATTTAAAGGACTATAACAATGGTTAAAAGTATTTAAGGTACTACCTCAACCTCTTAATTTAACACTTTATTCGGGTTGACATTTTCATTATCAAGGCGCTCTTGTCCTTTCCGTGAAACATTGAGAAACAAGGACATTAATGCGTTACCATCATACATACACACAAAAATACCGAACTTAATTAGGGAATCTGCTACGCTTTAAGCATAAAAAGGTACATATAAAATTAGTAATCTTTGTAGTAATTAGTATCTTGAAATCTTTGTTAATGCCATAAAATTTGATCATAACAATTTATATTTGCTTGGACCGGAGATGACTCGAAATTCTGTCGAAATGCTATCTGAATCGGTTTGCTATATGAAATGAAGTACAGTAGGCCTACTATAGACGATTTAGATTGGTAATTTGTAATAAAAATTACCAAAATAGGCCACGAACTATTGATACATAAACAACGTTCAAAGTGTTTGAACAATTCATGATGGTTTGCTGAATAAATGTTTTACTAAAATGCGTTATCGTTTTCTTAGCATAACATTTTGGAATCCAGACAGAAAAAGCAAAAATTATACAGTTAAGACATCAATTAATTTGAATAGGCCTACGCCTGTAATAAATAAGATGCAACACCAACGATAACTAATTTGTAAATTACTGTGATGTGTTGGTACGTAAAAATTATTCTTGCTGCTACTAAAGGTTAAAAGGAAAAGAACCAGTACCGTACCAAAAACCAACGTTTACAGTTAAGAACTGTAGTACAGCCGACCAATTATATGCGTTAATCAAGGTTATTGATCTCTTGGTTTTGGATTTTCTCGTAAAAAGTTATCGGCAATCAAAGTTATTTCCCATTAATTGCTTTATTTGTACACAACTCTTAATGTAAACTTATCGGTGTCAGTTTGAAAAAAAACCTTATACAACATAACTTTCTGTTATTTAATAGATTACGTATTCTCTAAACAATGGTTGCTGGTATATATATTAACATTATAAGGAAATGTGACAAAAATCACATAACGTTGGGTTTTTGGACGTTTATAATTTTATTTCTTAAGTACCTAGGTAGGCCGTGTATTCTATGGAAAAGTACCGGTATCAAGGATCGTTGTCGAAAGGGTTGTTATAAATAATTGGGTAAGCATACGTACCACACGTACCCAAGAGAAGGGATATGGGCCTATTGGTATGGTCCAGCGATTGCATCACACGGTGAGTAGGAACTATTGACTTTATATAGTCAATGGTAGGAACAGAAAGTGACACATTGGAAAATCGAGTTCAGCATCATCCGTAAACCTCTGTTACAATCACCCACTGCAGTTGTAATTTTTTGTTTTACACTTTACACAACCGCCATTGAAGAGCCGTCAATGAGTGGAACATTGTTTCTAAGCTATTGGCGACGGTCATTAGTAAATTTAAGTTTCCCAGCCGTATACAACACTGATTCAATCTTGATTCAATGTCTTCTTTCTGGTTATCAAAACTCCAAAACAATTTTATACACATATTTCTGGTTCCTGACCTTGATGATGCCTAGTTATTTAATTTACGGTTACACTATATTATTCCACTTGCGATTAATTAAATCCTTTATGTAATAAAAACGTTTTTAATCTCACTTGGATGGGATTTGCCTTCAAAACGTGATCGGAAATGGTTGTGGTGTTTGTAAACAACATTTGTAAACATTTCAGTGACAGCTAGAAAAAATAATCTTGATCCGAACAGCTGTTCGTTGTTTCATAGATGATTATGTGATACAAATTGGAAGAAAACTTGACAAAAATCGCACAAAACTGCATTTTTGAACGGCCGTAGTTTTAATTACAAAGTAGTGAGACCATATTTTAATGGCTAAAGACACTCTCGCCAATCCAGTGAATACATTAAAATGACTTGGGTCTTGATAGGTACTCTCGTTTTCCTGGAGAAGATTGCGTAAAATGCCATCTTGAGTGTGTCAGACAGACAGACAGACAGACAGACAGAAATTTAGATGAGACTTGTTTCGGCTTCTTTAATGTATAAAACGTAAAAATAACCTAAAAATGTATGATTCTGAGCAATGTACAGACAAAACTCTAATTTTATTTATATAGATAATACTACTTATTAATACTCAGAAACTGGTACTATTCTCAAGTACTTAGTGGCCCCATCACATTCATCCTTAAGCACCTCACCTCAAGCATATATTTTTTCTGAAAGAGTATTCAAGCTGGAGAATAAATCGATTTAATGTTTTTTTCAAGAAAAATTTTAAGGTTATCGTACACTATGGTCAAATGTGTATAGTACTAGCTGAGTATCCGTCCTTCGTACGGGGTTAGCATATAAAATGCTTATTGCAGTTATGGGAGAGGATACGGTTTAAGACAATTTGGTTCTTTTAATTCATAAGTATGCTATAGCACATCTACCACTGCACCTAAACCAGTTAGCTGTTGTCATAAATGCAAAAAAATAATATGAATCGAGCTATTATTATACCAAATTTCAACTCTGTCGGTTTAGTATTTTTTGGCGTTTACTTGTCACAACCATCCATTCATCCATCCATACATCCAAACTTTCTCACTTATAATATTAGTAGAATAGGATTTAAAGCTTCGACGGGCTATTAATTAACAGCTGTGTCTAAGGAATATGTCGGCCTTAGTCACTAACAAGACTACAAGATCGCGCCGCGCCACTCATCATACACTCATCTCCATTCATACTTGGCTTAAAATACCTACTTTGTATGGTCGCCATTTCAAAAAAAAGTATAAAGTAATAAAGTATAAGTAATAAGTATAAGTAATAAGTAATAAGTATAAGTATTAATACAACAAAGTAACTGAAAATTAAATAAAAATATGTACCCTGACAATTATTGAAACCAGGGAAAATATATATCCCAACAGATATAAAATCAAGGTTTTTCAGTTGCCCTGACAAGATCGCGCCACTCATTCTACACTCATCCTTCACTCATATTTGGGTTAAAATACGCACATAGTGGCGTCCCCATCTTAAATAATTGATTAATTGATTAATAGATCTTTTGTGGATCACCAGGGTAAAAAAATAGGAAGAGCAGAGTTGGAGGGAGATAGAGACGAAGCAATGACTGCTACATCTTGGAAAGACGACAAACCTTGGAAATTAGATCCATTGTCGGAAGAGTATGAAAGGCCCAAAGAAGGTGAAGTGGAAGGATTTTAGTTTGTAGGATAGTTAATTATTTATACTATTTTTTTTTATAATCTCGCTTTCAGCCTGCGCTGCAACTAACCTCCAGTGGTCACGTGTCACTAAAACTACCATATCTCAGTAAATACTCGTTCAATCTTGAAAAATAAGGTGTCAATCGATTTGTATAAGAATTGCCTTAAAAGAGTTATTCTTGTAAAATCAACGGTTTCTAGTTATTTAAGAAACAAAATTGTAAATGGCCGCCATTTTGTTTTATGATTTTGGAAAATCGTCATAGTTTTTTGGTTGCTTTGTCTAGTTGTAGTAAAGGTTTTGTGCACTGTTTCCATTTCGTATGTTTAACCATTCTTTAGAAAAAATTAATAACATAAAAAAAACAAAATGGTGGCAGTGTGAGTAACTAAGGACTTCCGGACAATTTAAATATGATATTTAGGTATGTTATTTACCCAGAAGCAATGCCCAAAATATTGGTAGAGAGTTCTGGGACACTCTGTATACAGGGTGAGTTTCTACTGACGCCCATAACTTCTTCAATGGATTCTAATGATCAAAAGGAACAAAATGTTGCAATAAACCCATAGTCCGACTCCGAACCGTTTGGTCGTAATTGAGAATTTTGTGTTTTCTAAAAATATTGGACTTTCTGTCATTATTTACTTTATACAAATAAAACCAATTAATCTATCGATTTATATTAAAAATAATTTTAAAGGGCATTCAATTTGATATAAAAACAAGGTTACATGAAACAATAATAAATTACATACATAAATAAAACCAATTAATTCATGTAATCAATTAACTCACCCTGTTGATAGAGCAAGTTAATTGACTGGTGTATTTGTCGGAGCGGAGAGTCAGTGCCAGTCAGTACCAATATAAGTGAACTCTGTATACAAAGCTATTGATTTTCTTTAGAATATAAATGCAACCATCCAAAACCCAAGTATTTCGCTCTAACCATGATTTAAATAAAACTATTTTAAATGTATACTAAGGTCCAAAAGTTTGTATTAATAATGAAGACGCTTAGCCTTGTAGAGGCTACTTAATTAAAATTATGAGCCTACATAAAAAAAAATACTAATCAAATGTTAACTCTATAAAAAACAAGTCAACTGCAAAAACTGCTTTACTACTTATGCTTTCGCACAAATTATACTTACTTTGCTAAAGCTTGATATTTGATGCTTTCAGATACAAATATATCTGTTAAAATACTTATTGTACAGGATGATATAGTATCTGTACTTGACCTCGCCACGAAAGAACTTCTTCCACCCCTCAGGGATGAAGAATATGTTCAATTCCGGAGCATCGACTACTTATACAATGAACGCTTAATATTCTACTTGGCAAACAGCTGTATTATGAGGTAAATGGTAAATATATTATTGTATTAAACTACTAGCTTGCCCGTCACACGTTGCTGCAATTTCAAGAAAGTTACCCATTTAATTTTAAATCTCTGGAGGTATTTAACATTTTTAGAGCACTCGATTTTTTTTTTATTTTTAATAATACATATTATTTATTATCTAACTTATCAGTAAGCCTAAAACGTAATTTCACTGTTTTTTTTTTTTTTTTTTTTTTACCGTCAACCATAGGTTGATTCATCTACGGTAACAGAATCTATAATGAAATATTGGTTTTTATTTTACGAGTAGGTTTGGCTCTCCAACCAAACTAATCTGCATTATTTTGGTCTTAAATACAAGGTATGCACGCACAGATTTTCCATCAAGCATCGATATCCATTTATTTGACGTATATTCCGCGTCATACACAAAAGCAACTTCCTCCTTGTACATTTCTTAGGGGAGTTAAATTAATTTGGGTTTTCTTTTCCGAGTTCGTTTGGCTCTTCTATGACCGATTTTCATAATGTTGGTCTTAAATACAAGGTATGCACGCACAGATTTACTATCAAGCAGTGATGATTTCATTTAATTACTGTATTTCTCGAACAAAAAACATAAACTTGATTTTTTATCGAATACTTACTCCAATTAAAGATGTATTTCACCAGTTTTAACTACATTAATATATATATATATATATATCTATGTATATATACATATATACATACACATATATATATATATATATACATATATATATATACACATATATATATATATATATATATATATATATATTGGTCTAAGAACCCTCAGTAAAATACCAGCTTTCATTTGAGTGATTAATTATTAATATTGGATGTACCATAAGTTCGCTGCTGAATCACGAACAACCCAAATTGTTCCAAAACATGGAGCTACTGTATTTATCATTTATCGATGGTTTTTGCTTGAAACCTCAAGAGTAACCGTCCAAATCAACGTGTTTCACCTAGGTTTAATTATTTCTCAAGTCAATGACACAATCTTACAATGAACTAAACTACTATATACATGGTTGTATGGTTCAATGTATGGTTTAGCTGTCGATAGTGTAAATTCAAAAGTATCCATCTGTTCAAATGTAAACAAATCTTTTCTCCAAAAGGATAACATGGGAACTTTAAAGACCACTAAAACAGAGCTCTTAAATTTTATTTCAACCTTCCCGGGGGAGTATATAACAACTTCCCAAAGATTCATCACGATCTGATGGCAGTTTTGGTAACGCATAAAGGACAAACAAACGACAAACAAACTAATACCCTCTTTTATACTTATAGATATACCCTTCGCCATAGCAAACCTGCAAACTAAGTGAATTTCCGCTTTCTGGTTATATTTTTACTAAAATACTTCAATCTAAATGTCAGATTTAAAATAAAATTAGGTTTATTGGGTAATTGCGACTGCTGCACAGGGGAGGCAATAAAGTCTGTTTGAAGATAACAGCTTAACTTAGTATGATATAAAGAAATTGTAAGCTAACTACGATAGTTCATAAATTGTCACACACCTCTTATCTTCTCAAGAACACAATCATTAACAACAAAAGTGATCTGTATTACAAGTCTGTACAACTGGAATGACAACAAAAAAGGATTTGTTACATTTTTAAATGCTTTATCACTAAGGTGGTAGTAAACTATTTTGATAAGCCAATAATTAATTAATAATTCGTATAACCATAAGCATGTTAAATTGGTGTGTTTACAATTTCTGTACAGTACACTTGAGAATCTAATTCGTGATTGATGGAATCTAATTCGTGATCGATAGAATCTAATTCGTGATCGATGGAATCTAATTCGTGATCGATAGAATCTAATTCGTGATCGATAGAATCTAATTCGTGATCGATAGTGATCAGGATGGTGATTACCAAACCAATTTTCAATTGATTTCAGAGCTACATTTGATGAAGATTTCCAACTATCCAAAGAAACAATTATAGTAAACAACACAGGTGACGAGCGGATAAGCTTAGCTGTTGACTGGGTCAGCAGACATCTTTACTGGATAGAAGAAAATGGCCAGCGTATCATAAAATCTGATCTGGATGGTGAAAATCAAAAGATAGTGGTGCAAAACTCGAGAACCTACAGCTTCACTTTTCCCAATAACATTGTCGTGGACCCCTGTAATGGGTAAGGTTAAGTTTAAATTAGCTTTTGCAATATAATTTTATATTACGAAATTAGTGGAAAACCTTAATATCATAGTAACTCTGTTTTTCAGAATTTATTTTACAATCTGTTCAAACAAATATGAGAACAATAAGTAAAATAGGTAACATAAAAAATAGCAGGAAGCAAGCACCTGTTCATCAACAAGTCTTGCCAAATAAAATGATTTCTGCCGGCCGCACACCTGATACAGCACGGCACGGCAAGGCGAGGCGAGACGTCTTTGCCTCGCCTTGCCGTGCCCGATGGAGATTTGAGATGCATACGGCACGGCATGGCAAGGCGACTTGAGCACCCACATGGTCGATCCCATGGTTTCAGTAAAGTGAGACACTGTGTGTTATGAGGTTGTTTGTACATTTTGTGACACTTTGTACTACACATTTTGTGAGAATGGATGCAGAAGGCGAAGAAGAGGCTGCTGCCATCGCTGCTATATGGTACCATTGACTGTTTTGTTTATATAGTCAATGATGGTACCTAATGAATGTAATGGATGATCTCCCTAACAGAGAATCGTTGGTGCATCCCATCAACCAAAAAAGGACTTGAAACCATTCATTGCAGAACTAAGAGCAGATCAGGAAAAAAATCATAATTACTAATCGTTGGAAGTGCACACCGATTTTGACAGGGGCTGTCACTGCGCTGAACGTGGTGTCGATCCTCGCGCATGCGCAGATCGTTTTGCCTCAAGCCTTTTGCCCGAAAGACGAAAATTGAAAAGGCAGAACAAAGCGCCGTATGGCGCTGTTTTGCCTTGCCTTGCCGTGCCCGATGATGTGTGCGGCACCCCCATTTGAAATAATAGAAATCTAGTCGCATAAGGCGCCTTAAGGCAAAACGTCGCGCCGTGCCGTGCCGTGCCGCATCAGGTGTGCGCCCGGCCTTATCCAGTTAACTATTGTATCTATTGTACGGGTTGGTTTCTGCCACTTTTACCTAAATTTTATCATACTATTCAAGACAGATAGGTCTATGAGATTATTGCCAGTACACATAGAAAATTCCGAAGAGAGATTAAATTGACAACTTCATGTAATTGATAAGGGTTAGACAACTGACATCATCATGTTAAGGAATTCCAGATTTAACAGCAACCCCACTACCAAATTTCTCAAAATTATGCTAGAGGTTAATTCATTGGCACATAAGTACGGTATGATGACTGAATGAATGAAAGAAAAAATCAAACTCACAATGCTTAGGGGTGGGGTAGTAAGAACGTGCCTTCTCAACCGATTTTTTTCTCAAATAAAAACATAAATATTTATTTAATCTGCCTTGCACTGGTAAAATCGCAGAAGTTTTTACCACAAGTGATTCATCGACACGATTTTAATACTATCTCAATGTTCTTCAAAAAGGAGATGACACCAGTTAACTCCGATGATGTACTGGAAATATTTTATTCGTTGAATAGTCAAATCATATTTCGTAATCTGCACAAATTGTAATTTTATTTTTACCCTTTTTTAGGCCCAGTACTCATTAAAACAAGCTATATGTTAAAGTTTTGACAATTTCAGTCTATCGTAGTTGGAAGAACTAGCGTGTAAGCCTTGAAAGTAACCGCCGATTTTGACGGGGTTCACCTAGTTTAATATTATCATAACAATTAAAAGTGTAAAAATATTTTTCTTTGATTTCAGATTGGTATTTTTTGTCAGTAACTATGCAGTTTACAAAATAGAGTCAAATGGAGATATTAAACAGATTGAAATAGATGGAAATCATCCTGGAGAAAGGGAAAGAGGTGTAAGAACGATAGCACTTGACAGAACTAGGAAATATATTTATATCTCCGGGGAAGAAATAAAAGTGGCTGACAACACTCATTACTTAGCAAGAGTCCGCTATGATGGTAGTCATATTAAAGAATTTCCCATGAAGGGCATGAGTGATATCTTCAGCATGGATGTGTTTGATGATACATTATATTGCGCTGAATTTAAACCCGAAGTTGAAGAACGCCTGTTGTCAGTTAGTACGACTATATCTGATAAACTGTCCCCTACAAAACTGTTCGTACCACGAAGATATTACCAAGTAAGTATAGTAGTGTACCTGTTGCTCGAATTCGAGCAATTGTTAAGTATTACATGCGTTATTTTAAAACGAATAACAGTCATAATTTATTGTGGCTTTAAAAGATTCGACTTAAAGATTATGGAAATACTCAAGATGTACATAACAGTTCGATATAATCAACATTTCTTGTAAATATCTTATAATTTTTCAAAAGCTGATCTTGTTTTTTAGTGGTTTCTACAAATGGCCACTCATAGCCGCATAAGGTTGTCCATAATAATGATTATAAATAAAAAAAATATATATTTCTATTTCTTCTCCTTTGTAGTGTTCTGCGACTTTCCTATGTTTCCATAGTTTGCAAATCGGCTCTTTCAATGATTATTAAGAAACGCAGCACAGTGTCTCACGTTTAATTTCTGACAACAGCTGGAGTCATAACAATGTTTGTTTCTCATGTTAATCTTATGGAGAAATATGAAACTTTAAAGGGCCTCGCTCTCTAATTATTTCCCTAAAAAGAAAGTTTCCTGCACAACTTCACGTTACGCTCTTTCCAATGACACCAAAAACATGTCAATCGGTTCAGTAGTTTCGGAGGAGTAATTGTCACAAAAAACCTGCTTGCGTATTAAATAAGTAAATAGATGATGTACTCTAGTTGTAATAGAACATCATTAAAAATAGTTGTATACATCATAAAGATTCATCAGTGTACTGTCTAATAATAAAATATAAAAAAATCAAGAGCTTAAATATCTATTTACTGTAATTTTAAAGTTCATAATTAATTGCAAGAGAAAACTATTTTAGTTTTGTTTATGAACTTATGAACTTTCTTATGCTAATTGTTTTCATTACACTACTTAATCAATAGTTAGTCACTTGAACAGTTGGTATATAGTCTATAGTTAGTACCCCCGAAATGTAGTAAAGTCGAAACACGTATCGTAAGAAAATTCTACAAGCTAATTCTAAAATTAGCGAGTATTTTAGCGAGTTTTTCATTAAGGAAATAAGCTATTACCGTAGGTCTCATGGTAAGACCTAACCCCGGGACTAATTTACTTTATCGTTTTGAGGACCCCAGAGGCCAAAAACCCCTTCCGTTCAAATTCATAAATATAATCATATGTGTCCGTTAGTGCGATAACTCAAGCAAAAATCATCTGATTTTGGTGTAATTTGGTACAAACGTGTAGACCCACGATTATTTCACGAATACTAGAAAGGACACGGTATAGATCAAAAACATAAACAAATGACGTTTTTGGCCCAAAAGTAAACAAAACCATATGTTAATTAATGCCATAAGTATAAGGATTTTGTTTACTTTGGGGCCACAAACGTCATTTGTTTAAATGTTTATGATCCATACCGGGTTTTTTAGTATCCGTGGTTTATTTGAACGAGTTTGCGAACCAACATGATCGGACTATGGGAACGGAGGTATAGTCGGGTTTTGGAGGTAAAAATACGGGTTTTCCATTTTTGACTAAAAAACATAATATTTAGCAATTTCTTTCTTAACCATTTTGTGGAACTTAAAAGATAAATAACTCAATATCCTGAAGTGTTGTTGGAAGCGATGTTGTTGAAGCAACATTTTAAAAAAGATATTTAACGCGTTTAAAAAAAATTTTGTATTCGCGTTGATTTATAATGAGTGTTGAGGCCAAAGAGGAAATTTAAGGCCTTTTAAAACAAAAATCCTAACTCTAACCTCTTATGAAATTTTATGCTAATTCCTGAGACTTGATTGCTGTGAAAAATAACAAAACACAATTTATGACAAAAGGAAATGTATTAAAGAAAATAACTATTATGCTTACAAATAAAATGAAATAACCCTTAAATGAAAATAAAAGTGTTACAAATAATATTTAAACAATTTTAAATAAGCAATAAGACATTGCTGCCAGGTAGGATGGAACCCGGGGCTGTGAGATTGTAAGTCCATTGCTCTGACCACTAGACCACAGATGAGTTGAGGAATTAAGCTGCAGTGGCTCTATTAGCCTCAGTTAGTGACTACTGTACTGTATTGGAGCTTGTTCAGGATTGCACAATTATGTACAGCACACTGAATATAAAGGTTTGTTGAAAATATGCAGGGATACTGCTGACCCTTGGAATATTAATTAATAATGAGAAAGGGATGCTGATGACCCTTGAAATTAATGTCTATAAATGTCTGACTCACGACTACATGGTGAACAATCTTCTCTTCAGTCCAAGCACAAAACACATGTCACATTCTGTCTCTGTCTCTATCCACTCTCTGACCACTGAAGCAACCGTTGAGACCGTCCAGCATGACCATTGTACCCAACCTGGCAGCTTACCCTATCTATGAGTGATTTACTTAACTAACTACAATGAATGAATGAAACCATTTCATGAGAATTATTCTAACAAATGGAGTACAAAGTTTTAAATATTTATGAAACTACAAATTGAGTTATTAAGATGAAATTAATATTTTTTAAATACAATAAAATAAAATCTACTTAATTTTAATTAAATAAAAAGATGCTTAATCAATGAGAATTATTACCTCTGATACGAGGGGACCCGTGGGTAGGTTGCGCAGGTTAATAGGGTCAAAACGTGTTTTCTAGGCAAATTGAAACCAGATTTACCCATGTTAAAGTAATTTATCTAACTGAATCAGGTCACAGTTTTCAAAAAACTTTCCTATTTAAAATACACTATGGACTGTACTTGTGAAAACAATAATCTTTGACTCTGTTGCAGAGCATTTTTGACTTCAAGATATACGGGCCGAGGATTCAGAAGTGTACTTGTTCATAGCTGACAAATAGTAACATTTTGTACAGAAACTAAACTTTAATTTACCAAAATATATCTTTTTCGATATTCACTAACAGTTTTATAGAAATATATATTGTTTTTTAATAAACAGTAAATTTATAACTTGAGAAGTATTGTTTCGCGTTTTACCCCAAGATCATTTATAACTATTTCATCTCTGTTGATGAAAACTATGTAAAATAAATACAAAACATAATAGCTTTTTTATTCCTCTTTTATTAGATTCTAGCCCGAAAGTGTTTTACACATTACTTCAGTCTAGGTCTAGAGGGATTTGCGTCAATATCACTTACATAACATAATTGGTATTTGGTGGGGTTTGAACCAGGGACCTCTAGAAGCGAAGACCTGCGCTATACCACTAGACCAGCTTGCCATAGACTATAGTGCAATGTGAGTATGCTAATGGAAGTATGAAAATGTGTGATAGCATTTTGAAAAGTTACTCTTACTTAAAAGAGTATTTATTTGAAACCCGAGCTATATTTTAAAATACTCAGGGTACAACCAATCAGTAAGTTGACATTGGTGTAATACAAAATATACGTTTTACCCAAATTTCATTATCCCTGAAGCTCATTATACTAATTCCACTATAAGCAAAAACGTTAAGAAAACAAAACCATGATCTTATGATAAAACAGCATATACAAACAGCTAATTTAAGTCAAATTCCACCCGTATCATTGATCATTAAATTTAGATTTTTTATTCACACTTATCATTTATGTATAAAAGCCACTAATGAAATATTTACACACTTACCATTGATTAAAGGAACAAAGGTAAACTACGTACAATCAATAATTACTATTATAATATTCCACTTTAGTTTTGGTTGCATAAAGTATTAAATTATAGTAATGGTGGGGTGCACAGAAGGAGCCTCCCCGAAGATTGTGACCATTACACACTATGAACGACATCACAATCGGGCGCACCCCGGGCAACGCTGGCATGTCAGCGGCAAATCCTTCTACAACCGGACGACTTCGAAAAATGAATCTGCCTAAACGGTCTTTTTCAAGGCCATTAGTAACGATCTCGATTAATATCGAGGGAATATCGAGAGACAAAGAAGTACATGCGAATGACAAATCGGTAGCTAATTTTTGGAAAAGCGAAGTCTGATTTCCGGACACGAAAAGTAAGTATAGTAATAGTCAATGGTACAACTCAGTTTAATTGAATTCGCTTTGGTTCAATATTTATCAGCTGTGTAGTAAATACAGCTACAGAATCTTAATTATTTCTTACATTAACATACGACAAACAACAAACAGAGATACATTCGATTATATATAGACAAGAGTATTTTAGGGTGGCGAAGCCCTACAAAATGGGTTGTGCCGCGGTGCATAATGTAACATTGCAATTACAGTTGCGTTCAAACAGCCGTGGTACCTGATGGATAAGGAGACCCTAAGGGTTTCCATGGTTTCTCCTAATCCGTCAGGTGCCACGGCTGTTTGAACGCACTGTAACTGTATAAATGTTGAATGATGTGATGTGGACAAATGTGTTGTGAGGTATTTATGCTTAACTTATTGTCTAATTCAAGTTGATTCAAAACTAATTTGAGAAAGATGGAAAGATGAAATTTAAAAGTTCTTGAAGATGAAATAATACAGAAATAAATAAATATTGGGTTAACTTTTAATGTGTTTCAAAAAGTAAATAATTTTATGTAAATAAACTGAAATGAAAGTACTTGAAATAACTTAGTACTTTAACATTTAACACCATTGTCAGTGTAAAGGAAAAGTTTTTGTTACTGAATTGCATGCAAATTGCTGAAGTAAGTGGATTGATGTTTTGTTCATATATCACCCACGAGATTCAATTATACTTTTCACCATAACCACTGGGAAATAACAGACGCTATTTAAAAACAGGGAATTGAGAGAATTAATTGAGGAACCAGATATTGTGGGAGTGGTTAAGAGTAGAAGGTTGAGGCGACTGGGCCACATTCAACGCAGAGGTGAGAGGGAGATGATAATACAAGTGATAAGAGGTACGCCGGAGGGAAGGAGACCATTGTGAAGGCCAAGGATGAGATGGGTTGAAAAGGTTACAAAGGACCTAAGGAGTATGGAAGCAGACCTGGAGCTGGCAGAGGACGGAGGATCCTGGAGGCACATGGTTGGCGAGGCCAAAGACCGCCTTGGTTTTCAATGGCCACAGGAGTAAGAGTACGTAAGTAATTTAAAAGAGACTCTTTTTATTTTATAGCTCTTACTTAACACTATACTTGTTCAATCTAAAGCCTATATTGCTAGAAAAATCACATAGCCTATTAAATATACAAAATGTTAATCTCGGTTTAATTTTGGGGTTTAATAGCATATTGCAACTACTATAATTCTCCCTTCAGGTAGTGCTGTAAAATATGTTTGGAGTTCCCCAACCCTCCTAATACCTCTGTATTATTCAATCTCATCCCATCTTGAGACTTGTGGTAAAAGGCTAAAAGCTTCAGTAATGTTGTGGTGCGGCTTGCCGTTACATGATAATAATTCTGAAAGTCTATTGTTTTACCTTACAAAGAGTCGTAAAATACTTAAAGAATATAATATATTATACCACTTTACTTTTTAATCACTAGTAGTTCCTTTGTTAAGGGATAGTTTTAGAATATTCTTTAATTGAATCTAAATTTATGATTGTTTATGACTAACTCTTACTACTTCTACTATACACAAATATTGAGGAAAGCCAGCTCGGTATGTTGTTTGTGTCAGGGGGTTGAACAACATAATGTATAGTTAAATCTTTATTCCTAAACAATTCTTCATCCATTTACGAACTACAGATTACATTCCATATTTGAACCGTTATGAAGAAAGTTTGCTAGCAGCACTGGATCTTTGAAAGTGAATTCTAGAAATAATTGAAACAAAAGACACAAAGCCGTTAAGGAAATCAAATTTTTCGTTGCCATTCGCAGGTACGCTGAATCGTGAGCTTTAAAATGACATCTCAATCGTGAAAATCGTTTAGTAGGACAGCTGAAAAGGGGTGTAATAGCGAAACCCCATATTGCACCAAGTTAATAGATATTTCGGATATTTCGGGATATTTCGTGTCCCTGTACATTTTAAGCGGTATATCAATTTTACACATTCCTAGCTAATATTTGATTCGGAAAACTACATACATGTTATGGTAATATTGAGAAAATGGTTGTAATACTGCAGATGTAATATGATCTTCATTTTGAAATATATCTTTTTCCTTTGGTAAATAAACACACCATATTTTATAACCGTAAAAACTAGTAAATTTATCTATTTTAGTTGGATTGAGATGGGATTAATATTATATCTTTCACATACTAAAAAACTTATAAAATAACTCAAAAATCACTCAACTTATCGGAAAATTATTAAGACATTTGGATCACGCACCCTAGTTTTAAGGAGGCAAATTTGTATAATGTTTCGTACCATGTTTTGCAAGTTGTTTTTATTCTATCGCTTTGTGTGTAATATCTGACCCACTGAGTGATTTAACTCAAGGTCAAAGGGTCGGTTGATAGTGTGAGTCAGCTATACAGTGGCATCAGCAGTCATGAAAACAACACTTCTTCTATGTATATACGTGAGTTTCGCTCTAGCTCCTACATTTACTAGGGCAAGAATCGTAGTTGTCCCAGGAAGTGGTAGTTCTCCTGAAGATAAGTTGGGCCGCAATGAGGATGAGTTGAGCCGCAATGAGGGTACATTGAGCCGCATCGAAGACAAGTTGAGTCGCATTGGTAATACGTTGGTCCGCAAATCTACCAAATACATACATTCAGTAACCCCAGTTACTCAAGAAGATTTCAACCCAACATTGATTGACACAGAAGCATCCCCCGCAGAACGTAACCAATGTAAGTCTAACAAATACTAAAGATTTCAATTGTACGAGGTCACCATATATTTATTTCAAATTTTAAAATGTTATATTTGTTTATGAAATGGAAAACAAAATTGTTATGTTTGCAATAGGTTTTATGATATGGCCTACACTAGCAGCAAAACCCGATTTTGCCCGGGTACAAATACAATGTACAATAATGGTTATAGAATCAGGGTTTTTCCGTTTCATAGATGTACACAAATCTTGGTATCATTAAATCTAGATTTAAATATGGTAGAACATTAGGCCTATAGGCCAACTAGCTACTTTCACGCATTCCCATATTTTATTTTGAAAGTATAAAAAACCATCCTAGAACACCCTATAAATCACATTTCCTAGATCACTCTAAGCCGTCTGAAATAGGGTACAAAAGAAGTAAATTTTTTCACGCACACTCATATTTTTTGCTATATTTGGCACGATTTAGACCATTCACTACCTTTCATCAATGAACATAACCCTGTGATTAATCAAGACGTGACCGTCTATGATCCCGTATCTAACGAGACAAAGTTTTTTTTTATTTAACAACTCTGAAACGACCACTTGTCGGGTTTTCATGATTATTGTGTTGAAAGAAAGATAATTTTGAGAACTAGGGAATGTCGAAGTTATAATTTTAGTTTAGGGTTTCAGTTTCTTAGAAATTAAGTTTTAATTTTTCAAGTCTAGCAGCCGACGCTAACATTCTAGACTAGCTTTTGGTATAATGCCATTTAATTAAATTTAAAAGTTCAACAAGGCCAATATACAGATTGTCCCAAAAGTCCCGGACCGGTTTAATATTTTCTAAACGACAACAGATAAATCAATAAAATTTGGTACATCAACACCACACCTAAAAATCTACTTTTTTAAGGAAATATCAATTTTCTGTCACATCATGGGGACGTCCCGCTAGGAGTCAGAAGGAAATCTTAAATAGAAGCATAGATTGACATGTACATCACATTAAAGGTCTTTACTAGCAGAATATAATGCCGCAAATTTGAACTCAAACGGACAACCGAGTCAAGAAAGACAGAGGTTCAAAGATTCGTTTAACATTGCTATTTTACGCTTACTCCTCGGGGGGCACAGCCCTAGGAATTGGAAGAAAATTGTTAACGTAAACATAGGTCGATATGTACATCAAATTAAAGGTCTTCACTAGTAGATTACAATGCCGTAAATTCCAGCTCAAAAGAACGCCTGAGTAAAAAATGGCAGTCGTTCAAAGATTCAAAATGGCAGATTCAAGAAATCTTTGAACGGCTGCCATTTTTTACTCAGTTATCCGTTTGAGTTCAAATTTGTGGCATTAAATTCTGCTAGTAAAAACCTTTAATTTGATGTACATGTCAACCTATGCTTCTATTTGAAATTTCCTTCTGACTCCTAGCGGGACGTCCCCATGATGTGACCGAAAATTGATATTTCCTTAAAAAAGTAGATTTTTAGGTGTGGTGTTAATGTACCAAATTTTATTGATTTATCTGTTGTTGTTTAGAAAATATTAAACCGGTCCGGGACTTTTGGGACAGTCTGTATAATAAATTCTTTTAATCCACAAGCGCTTTCAGAAACTATGTTTCCATCGTCAGGCTGTGTTTAAACTCAGCCTGACGATGGAAACATAGTTTCTGAAAGCGCTTGTGGATTAAAAGAATTTATTATATATTGGCCTTGTTGAACTTTTAAATTTAATTATACACGAGGTGTTAGCCCGTCCTACGTACGGGAATTCAGTAGTCAGTTAAAACCGTGTACAATTCAGATCAGCTAGTTTAAAAAAGACAAATGTTCTTGCAGTTTTAATGTGAAAAATCATCTTTAAACAAATGTTGTGCGACCAAATATGTTTTTATGCATTTTAAATACGATAATTTTACAATAAAACAGCAATTCTGCAATTTTTACGATATGAAAAGCGTTAAAGTGAGATTTGCAGCCGATTCGCACAGACGCACACTGATTATAAGTAGCATACAGTAGAGAGAGTAATAGCTTTGACTATTAATACAACACTTCTTTATCTTATACAACTTCTGTATCCAATAGTCAAAGGTAATAGTCAATTGAGAAGTGTATAGACAACGATACTACCTTCCATAGCATACCTGCCTCTTCCATAATTATTATCACCACAATACAACTAACTTACTATACACAATTTCCAGTAGGTCTGAATAGAAACGACCTAAAATAAAACGATAATATCCAATAAAATTCACAGTACACATAATTTAACTTTGGTGTCCTAACATCAAAACTAATCGTCACACCTATCCTTTATATCAATTTCACTGCATTAATTACTAAATAAATAAGTCTAAACAAAGAAAAGTAAAAACAATAACAATTTGTTTTTAACAGCTGGAATATAAAAAGTAAACACGATAGTAAAGCTAATGACGTAATTGTCAATGTTTATTATCCATACCGTTATCAGTTCGTTCTATCCTTGATAATTACCCTCCCTCATTGAATAGTACATCGTAATTTCCCATATTAGTTAATTTAAACTACAATATATTCATAGTTTAAATAAAAGTGATATTTTCACGTTTGGGGGCGCTGATATAGGCACCCCCAAACGTAACCACAACTGAACACGATTTCATAAAACATGTTAACATTGTTATTTTTCTATTCTTTCCTTGAAAAGTGGAGCAGTAAAATAATTTGCATTTATCATTTTTTTATTGAGACTCGTGTACAGAGCCTTGATTTGTACTGTGGTTTAATTAATTTTGGTCCAAACTATTTTAAACTGTGGTCTAATTATCTCTACTAATCTGACTTATTTCCTATAATCAATGACAAAATAAGAGTAAATAAAATAACCTCATAGTAGTCGAGTAAATCCGTACGAGAACCCTAAAAAAATTGCTTTAAATTGTTTTATCGGTTATTTTGACTTAGAATTACGTGTATTTTCCAGGAAAAAAAGTCTAATGAAATCGGAGTCTCGGAAGTCCAAAATTCAAGATGGCGTCCAAGATTTTGGTCAAATGTGTCCGTTAGCACAATAACTCAAGCAAAAATGATTCGAATTCGATGAAATTTGGTACAAACGTGTAAATCTACATTTATTTGAACGAGTTCGCGAACCAGCATGATCGGACCATGGGATCAGGGGTTTATGGGGGGTTTTATGGGGTAAAAATTGGGTATCCCCATTTTTTACCCTAAAAACGTAAAATTTTGCAATTTATTTCGAAACCATTTTAGGGCTCAGAAAAAAAAACAATTTGGTACATTGAAGTGTTGTCATGGGCCTAATACCTAGTTACAGAGAAAATTAAAAAAAAAAAATTAAATTAAAAATTCCTAAGTTATTCTTACGGAGAATAAGAAAGACTTGTTGTTGTGTGTGTACTATATTTTTAATATATTTTTTATCAAATTTGGAAAATGCATTTGTTTTATACTAAACTATTTAACATTTTACTAAAAACACTTTTTTACTCTCCCTGTCGCAGCAAACCGAAGTACTAGTTAAAGTAGTGCTATTTAAATAGGGAATAATGATATTTTTAATGTGATATTTTAGTGTAAATTCAATAAGGCAAATTGAAATTCACTTAAGGTGCAGGTTTGCTGTGGTGGGGGTAATTTAATTTCTGACTATTTTTTGCTTGAAAAATCCAATAATAGGTCTTAAAATAAAGATCACAAGCTTGCTAAAATTCAACATACATATTTTATTTACTTAAATAAATATCTATAAATTTTTAGCCCGAAAGGATTTTTTAGATAAGAATAGGCATGTATTAATCGGGAATCTGAGCTATCATAAAGCCACATTTCAGCCCAATCTGACCAGTAGTTAATGCGTGATTGAACTTCAAACAAACAAACTGTCACATCTATGATATTAGTAATAGTATAATATAGTCACACTTTATTGTGGTTAGTAGTAGAGCATTATACAAATAATAAATCATAATTTTCATCAAGTTGTACACTGTTATGATCACTTTACGAACTGTCACATTGTTCTCCAAGCTGGTAAAGTCCACAAGCTGTAGTACAAGGTAACACATACTTTGTTGCAGGAGCATTGCAAATTCTTGCAGCCAGTAGAGTAGTTGCAGTGAAAAAATCTTAAAAGAATCTCTGGAGCGGCACTTTGGGTCATCGAGTCGTTTTCATTGTTTATTTTTTTTCAGCAGAGCATCTCAACATTATTTGTTTACATTAATTGAAAAAACTCCTCAAATGAATAATAGTTCTTTTCTTTTTTTAGCAGTTGATTCACTAGATTTATGAAATAATTTTGGTTTATTTTACTTTTTAATTTGGTAGGAAAATGATTCAAAACTTTTGATCACATGAAGGTTTCCTTTTTTTAGGTTTTTCATAGAAGCTGAGATTGATAAATTTATATAAATTTTATTTCTAGTTTCATATGAATGGACATTTTTTTATAATTTCCAAATTTTCTTTTAAAATTCAGAGATAAATTCATAGATATATTTCTGACTTACTACCGCGAAAAGGGGAGTTGCCTTCATAATAATTAATAATAATTTTAACCTTTACATACATTTGGTTCTCAAAATGGAAACTATAACAGAATTCGTAAGATTACAAAACAAATCTTCAATTTTAAACTAGAAAAGATGTGCAATGTTTGACAGTATGATTTCAGCTCTGATTTTCGTTCTCCGGGCTCAGGCCAAACCGTGTGCACGCGTTTCCATTTGTTATGTTGTGTTATTGATTTAATCATTATTTTACAATTGTATTTTTCATTGACACATCAAAAGCAACTAATATACGACTCCAACGGAAGGAAAACCAAGATATAAAAAAAGAAACACTGTTAATTTTAAGTAAAAAACAAATAATTTAGTATACAGAAGCTTTGTTGTATGCCTAACGGTTACGGAGAAAATAAAAAAGTGTACATTTAAAATGACCATGTTGTTCTTATGGAGAATAAATAAAGTGTTAAAGTTTGCTTGTCTATGGAAATATTATAGTGAAATTTGGAAATGTTGGCCATATTGAAAAAAAAACCGATTTCCGAGACTCCGATTTTATTTGACTTTTAGTATATTATTTCACACACTTATTGGAAATGTAAACCATTAAAAAATCTTTTAAAGCAATTTTTTTAAGGTTAAGGGGTTTTATTTTATATCTTGCCTAGACTAAATTTGATCTAAGTGGAGTTTAAAAACAGCTGATTAACAACAGTATTACCAAAATATATCTGTTAGCATTATACATGTAAATCTTTTTATAAACTACTTGTGAACTATTACAAAATAAAAGAATTGAATGAGCGTAAAAAAAGTATTGAAACAAATTCTATTACTTGACTCAACACAGAATTCGCTTATGACAAATATGTGTGTGTTTTTATCTGTGGAGACGATACAGGCCACGATGAATTGTTATCCAAACGTACCAACTAACAATTAATATATGGTAATTTTCAGAATTCCCATAAGAATTACATAGTTTTCTTTATAATTATCCCACCACCACTTAAGATAATTTAATTATTAAAAATACTAAATTGCATATATTTTTTAAGGATTTACAACATGGGTATAGCACAGACTAGGGATAAAAAGTTTTGTTCCCTATGGTGACCAATATTGAAATAAGTTATTTACTACTAACAACTTAAGGCAGATTTTTACCTATTTTTAACCCTATACAACACGTTTACTGCATATTATTTATCTTAAATCATGAATAGTTTATAGATAATACAGTTTCAAAGGTTTGTACCAAATTCGGTCTAAATTGGACGTTGAGAAGAAAAGTTACAGAGAAAATAGTAAGGTTGATTATTTTTTCAAATTTTTGGACGCCATATTGGAAAAACCCAATTTCCGACACTCCGATTTTATTAGACTTTTAGTATGTAATTTAACATACTTTTTGGAAATGAAAACCGTCAAAAAAACTTTTAGAGCAATTTTTGTAGGGTTAAGGTGTTTTTTTCATATCTTGACTAGACTATAGTTCCATAGCTTATATTTAACCAGCTGTTAGTTAAAACAAATTATATTGCTCTAAAACAAATCGAAGATTACAAAGATTGCTTTAAAAAATATTTTGAACATCCTAGTATTTTACTATGTATATTTAATTAATCTGTCATCCTCTTACAGAAGAATTGATCGTATCAATGATTAGCATTACACATAGTATAAATAAGTCAACGCTAAGTATGTCTTTACATTTTTATCCAAATGCTGAATTTGTGACACAAAAGCTGAATGTTTACAGCTGTTATGTTAAGCAAATTATTTTATGCCGAAAGCTAGTTTAGAATCTTAGCGTCGGCTGCTAGACTTTTTAAAAATTAAAACTTAATTTCTAAAAAACTGGGACCCAAAACTAAAATTATGGCTTCGGCATTCCCTAGTTCTCAAAATTATCTTTCTTTCAACACAAAAATCATGTAAATCCGTCGAGTGGTTGATTCAGAATCGTGAAATAAAAAAACACTGTTTCGTTTTAATATTATAGATTTCACTATTTCTTGCCAATATCTCCAATATAAGTTATAATGCCATTTGCTTAACAATGCAGCTGTAACGCAAATTAAGCATTTGGATACTAATGACATACGTAGGGGTGGCTTATTTTGTACTGTAATGCTATAATCATTGATAAGTTCATTTATTCGGTAATAGGATGTTAGATTATTTAAATAAACATTAAATGCATTACTAGTTACTTTACAAATTATAAATAATGTTACAGAATCTTCAGGTCGAATTATATTCTTCCCTTGTGTAGCAACACAAAAGATATAGCATTTTAAATTAAAAAAAAAATAATTTAAAGGAAATATACAGAGCAAATCAAAATTATGTGTCTGTAATATCAATAACGTATTGTATAAATATAGATACTAGAATCGATATCAGAATTTAGGAATCAAAACCTTTGACTGGAATGAGATAGAAACCATCGAAAGGAATAATATGTACCAAAACCATCATAACCAAAACTGTTCTTTATTATATGATTAGTTTCGCAGCTTTGGATGAAATGAAAATCCTTTATTTCAACAGGCAAAGTTATTGGATGCGTTGGTAATGCTTGAAGGATATACAAACTTACATTAAAATGTTGTATCTAAAAAAAAAATCTTTACAAAAACAATCAAAAAGTAATATTGATCAAAATTTGAGATCTGCATACAAAATCTACCTTTTAAATGTATTTTTAGTGTCCTGTAAATTTCCTGGCCTCTCTGTTATTCTATTTCAGGAAGAAGGAATCTTTACTCCTAAAATTGGGACTATATATTGTGCATGAACCCCCTAAGGTGAGAGCAGCATTAACCAATTTATTGACTTAAAATTTTGGAAAACCATAAAATAATTCATCTTCCACAAAAAGTGTGTCAACCTGTTTATTTTCAGTCGAAGACATTTGTATGAGGTTGAAGGCCCTGGAAGACTTTCTTGAAGACCAAGAAAAACGTAAAACATCATCGAGACACTCACAATGTAAGAAAGTAAGTTGGCATTTTCAATCCTTAATAAATTAACTTTAAAATTCGGACTTGGAAATCACGTTTTTTTTATGCTATTATAGATAATAATCTACTTACGTATCACGTATGCCAGTAGGTGTCAATTATTAATACTTGAATTATGCTGTACATGTTTCAAGCCTAAATACGGCTCATCTTCAGCAGCATTTTTCTATGTACAATTTTCACATCGAGAGATGATTGTCGACTATATACAGACCACATATACACACAAACACAGAACGTTTTAGCATGCTATTTTTATTATTTACATGTGTTTTTGTAGCGTACGCTCGTTTAAACAATACCCGACCGGACGACATTTGTAGGCCTACTGAGAGAGGTACTATAGAGGTTTTTTTTTAGCTAAATATTATGAAAGATTTGCATAAAGCTCAGTTTTTATTTTAAGTGAACACAATACATACAACAGTATAAAAGGTTCTGTTAAAGGACTTTGTCACTATACAAATAAATAGTTTATTGCCGCCAACTCTTCTGAAGGATATGTATATGAACTTTGATTTTGTATGTTATATGAATTAATAGTCTGTCAGGATACACCTTTTCCTGGAAGAAAGCTACCAAATATTATTAGAGTCTTATTATTATCAGAACTTTGTGAACTCATAACCAAACTTAATCAATGGTAAATTGTGATGATTAAAAACGAAAATGATTAAAAAGTATCTGCACGTTCTGGCAGTAAACGGTTGCGTTTTGCCTCATTCCCTATTAGTTCTGCTACTGAAAACAGCCTTTTACTGTAGACATTGCTGTAAGGAGATGATGGATAAATCTTAAGGGTCCTTGGAGCCTAGGAGTTCTAACTCGTAAAAAAATTAAAGAACTACAAAGAAATTTAATTTCTAATCACAAAGTTTACTAGATATTTAAATTTAAAATCACTCTGGTGTTTGAAAAATATTTTGAGATGGTAAATAACTCTTCAACGGCTGTTTGAAATTAACAAAATTAACATTGCCCTTATGGCGGGCAAATCCAAGATGGCCGTTAGCTTCCATGGACTGAATTGGAGAACAATTCAAAACTACATAGAACATTATAATCTCACAGTATACCAGATATTTAAATTATAATCACTTTGGTGTTTGAAAAATGTTTTAGACGATGAATAACTCTTCCACAGCTGTTTGAAATCATCCAAGCCAAGATGGCTGCCACCTTTCAAGGATTCTTAACTAGTCTTGATAGAATCGATAACTGTTAGGCGTTAGTTGACCACCACTCGAAAGGGTCTCCTTTTCGAACCAGACGAACAGATTTACCTCAGTTGCTCTAGAATTTTTTCCCTCCTCATTTGCACAATATTGGTCCGCTTCTGTTGCGATTTTTTCAAAGCAGTCCCAAAAACTAATGGTTATATCAACTGTTTATGTGCAATACTTCCTTTTTACTAAACGACTGATATACAACTGAAATTATGGTGCAATTAGTCTTAATGGACTTACCCGTCACTATATCCAAGAGACAAGTAGTGACTTGTCTGAGTCATAGCTAAACCTAAACATAAAAGCGCTCACTACTCAATACTCATAACGTCTAATAGAGGTTATGCTTTCGTTTATTATCTCTCATTGCCACTGATTGTGATACTACAACTTATTGTTCCAACCGCTCACTCAATGTATAATCAATTAAATTGGCCTTAACAGCTGATAAGCTGGCGTTCAAAACATTACAATTTTACTTCTTCTCTCAATCCTTAATAGCCCAGTCACTTTAGGTAAGAACCTAGACATGAAAGATGTAAAGCTGATTTTTTGCATGGTGATAGTATATAATAGGAAAGGTGTTTTCTGAAAGTTCCCTGAATTTCCCCCCCTTGCTTCCCCTTAAACCCCCCCCCCCTCCCCCGAAACACCAGGTTGAAAGTGTAGTGTTTAACTAAATCACCTATATCTTTTGATGTAAACGAGCTATCAGCATAATTGTTTTTTCTTTGAACTCCCCGTTAAATTTACTTTAATAAAATAACCTTACACGTAGCATTATCTCTATTGGGTGGGATTTTATATGTGATACAAAATAAATATTATTTTATTTAAAACGTGAAGTTGTAGATTAAGCCAAACGTCGGTTTTGCAGAAGGTAGTACGTCAATGTAACAACACTTTTTACCTGTTTGATGAGCTTTCCAAAAATGTATAACAATATATATTTTAATTTAAATTGTTACCGAATGAAGCCATTTAAATCCATGCTTCAAACAGCCACAAAGCGCATTTAGCGTACCATTCCAACTTGTCCAGTAAATATCTATTCTATATACAGGGTTAGTAAAAAGTGTGGAGACCCCCTGTAAATTTTTTTAACGGCCCATACTAAAAAAACTAAACTCGGCACACCTTTATGGCATGTTATGAAGTACTTTTTGGGAATAACCGCCACTTGATGATCATCCCCAAAATGGGGGATTTTAGGGGAAACTCTAAAATTTCAAATTTTAAGCCCCATTGAGTGACCCCTCATTTTGAAGGTCCTGGTAAAAGAAAGCCAACAACGCAAATTAGAGGTATCTACCTCAATCCAGTAAAACATGGCAGCCAATTGAAATTCTCAGAAGTTAAATTTAACTTACAGCTTTTCAAGTCTGGAGACCCCCTGTAAATTTTGTAACGGCTCACACTAGGAAAACTAAACTCTACACACCTTTTTGGCATGTTATGAAGTACTTTTGAAGCCTAATAGCCACTTGGTTACCAAACCCAAAATGGGGGATTTTTGGGGGAAACTCAAAAACTTTAAATGATAAGCCCCATCGAGTGACCCCTCATTTTGAAGATCATAATAAAAGAAAACTAGCAAACTAGAGGTCTCTATCTTAACACAGTAAAATATGGCAGCCAATTTAATATTAAATTGCAAGTTATTTCTGATTTCTAAAGATTTCAATCAGCTTCCATTTTTTACTGGATTGAGATAGAAACCTCTAGTTTGCGTTGTTAGTTTTCTTTGACCAGGACCTTCAAAATGAGGGGCCACTCAATGGGGCTTAACATTTAAAATGTGGTTTTTAAAGGGTTGTTTGAGTTTCCCCCAAAATCCCCCATTTTGGGGATGTACACCAAGTGGTGGTTATGCCCAAAAAGTACTTCATAACATGCCATAAAGGTGTGCCCAGTTTATTTTTTCTAGTATGGGCCGTTAAAAAAATAACAGGGGGTCTCCACACTTTTTACTAACCCTGTATAATTCAGTTTTAAAAATATTTGTACAACTAAATCTAGAGTTCTACTGGACCTATTTTATAATTATTGTGTCGTTGAAAAGCTTAATTCATGTAAATTTGCAAATAATTATGAAAGTTTGTTTTTGTTATGATTTATGGTGAAAAAAAATGTTTTCCATAAGAAATACATTGAAAACTGTGTTTTTCACACGTTTTATTTGGGTGCGACTTTTGGCTACTTATTTTGAGTATTTCCAAAAAGTGCATGGTACCAATTTGTAGGAAATGTTATTCTCTTTCAGAATATCACCTTCCACTCTGGTGGATTTCCTCACCATTTAAAAGTTATTTGCTAAAAGGCTAAGCAACCTCTGAATTTATAGTAATGATAAAATACTGAGTAAGGGATATTTTCGTTAAACTTTGTACAACTAAATCTAGACTTCTACTAGACCGATTTTGTTAATTAATGGGTCATTGGAAAGCCTAATTCATGTAGATTTGCAAATAATTATGAAAGTGTGATTTTATCAAATATTTGTGGTGAAAGTTTCTTTTTTCAAGTTTCTGTTTTCAAGTTTCTATTTGTAGCCAGCTTTTGCCTGCCTTTATTAAGAATTTTCAAAAAATGCATGGTAGTTATTTGTAGTAAATTGTATTCTCTTTCAGAATATCACATCCACTTTGGTAGATTTTCCCTCCATTTAAAAGTTATTGGTAATAAGCTAAGTGATCTACAAATTTTAAGTGGTGAGAAAATACTAATTTTTTTTTTTTTTTAACTTTGTACAACTAAATTGATTGTATAAATGATTGTATAAAGCATTGATTGTATAAATTCACTCCCACCCTTCATTGACGAAGGAACTGACGATGATGAGGGAAAAGAAAGTTGATATGCACTGTATTGTTTATGCCTTACTTAAGTGTTTTTTAACATTAGGCTAATTAAACCTGTTGAGCATATATTTGCCTTTTCTTATAACTACCGATTACTTAATTTTGAATCCTTGTGAGTAATTATTTTCTTACTATTTTTGTAATTCAGTGTTCTTATTTTTCTTGTAAAACATTCACACAGGGTGTGTAAACAATAAATAAATAAAAAGTAATCATTTAGTAATATTTACTGAACAATTTGGAATGATGTGCTAAGTGAAGCATGGATTTAAATAGCTTCATTCGGTAACAACTTAAATTAAAATATATATTGTTATACATTTTTGGAAAGCTCATAAAATGGGTAAAAAGTTTTGTTTCAAACACATTGACGTACGACCTACTGCAAAAACCAGGGTTTGACCTAATCTACAATTTTATGTAAAAAAAATAATATTTTTTGTTATATCACAGATATAAACCCACCCAATAGAGATAATGCTACATGTAAGGTTATTTTATTAAAGTAAATTTTACGGGGAGTTCAAAGAAAAAATAATTATGCTGATAGCTCGTTTACATAAAAAGATATAGGTGATTTAGTAAAACACTACACTTTCAACCTGGTGTTTTGGGGGAGGGGGGGGGTTTTAAGGGGAAGCAAGGGGGGGAAATTCGGGGAACTTTCAGAAAACACCCTTCCTATCATACACTATCACCATGCAAAAAATCAGCTTTACATCTTTCATGTCTTTGTTGGCCTTGATTTTTAACTTAAGTTACTGGGCTATAAAAGTAAATCTCAATCTTAAATTGGTCCAAACTTGTACCTATCCAATAGTCAATGCTTGAACTATAAAGTAACAAAACTACTGTTAAGTAATTAAACAATATTTTTATATAAGTGAAT